AAAAAAAAAAAAAAAAAAAAGGAGAATGTATTTCACATTAGGCCGGGGATAGGAATCGAGAGGAGGAGAGCGAAATTTCGTTTGGAACATAAAGTCTAATAAGCTTTTGATGTTCGTGCAGAGGTATTGGTGCAGAGGTTGCAATCTACGGTCCGATCTTCAATTGACATCGGTGAGAAGTTGCTTTTCCAGGATGTATTTTCCTTCTTTATAACGTTGACTTTGCTCGTACGCCTTCTCCTGAGAAGCAACACGGGATTAGCTAATTGCTGACAGATGAGGTGCGCAAATCGTCGTACTCACATATTTCCATCCTAACACAGATCGGCAGCGAGAGCAAAAAATATCCTTTACAGTGTGAAGACCGGTGGTCATATGACGTTCCTCGGAAGGTCCTTCTTCGATGTTAACCCTAACCGGGTGAAAACATCTCAAATGTGAAATAGGAAGTCTCGTAAGGGAGCCGAGTCGAAAATTTTCAAAACACTTACACTGTTTCAAAAAGGTATGCACGTCCGTGTTGCCCTTGGAAAGCCTGAGTAGTGCACAAGTTACGAAAAACTTTTAAATTATTGTGCCAAAGTTATTGGTTGAAACATTTTGAGAGTAAAAGTGCATAGACCTTTGAAATAATATTGTCAGTTGTGGAAAGGTGTGTTCGACATTTGTGACATCCGAAAATACGGTTACCGTTCAAATAAACGCGATAGGTGAGACCCATGATTACAAGTTTATGAGGTTCGCCGGGAGGTTTCTTCTTTGCTTATTAAAGGACTTTTTGAAGTTGTTGGATTTGTTTGATTTGAGTATTTTGGGGGAAATGAAATAAGAACAACTTTACGTCTCTTTGAATAGAATATACTCAAACCTATTATTGTATCTGGTTGCATTTGATGGGTGAAAGAATAGAGGAAAGAGCTGCAAGAGGTTAGGTCTGCTTCTTCCTATTTATATCACCTAATTCATCATACTTTCGTGTAACCACCTTAATCTGATAGACCACACGGTCACTGGTCATGTTCTCCTGATAAATTTTCGATTTGCAATTACGTCAGGGGTTCACTTGATTTTCATCAAAGTATAATAAAAAAAAAGCAAGCGCGTATATGATGACAAATGGTGTTCCTTTTTTTTTTTTTAAAAAAAAAAAAAAGAAAAAATTTTCGCATCACAGTTAATCGACCGAAGAGGATATTTTCGTCTGCCACATATTTCTTGTTTCCGTCGTGTCCATTGTTCCTAGTGCCACTTTGTCCCACCGCATCACAATGTCGACATGAAAATCAGTGATCCGACCACCTGACTCACTATCTGGTTAATCTTTGTGCCAACATTCATCCAATTACGTGATTCAATCGATTCGTCATAACTGAGTGGAAAAATTTTGTTTTGCAACAGAATATTATTAAGATAACATGTATTAAGCTAAAATAAAACCTAATTCATCTATCCAAGGTATTAAAAATAAAAAAATAAGAAAAAAAAAAAAAGAAGATAGTACAATATACTAAATTAAATACACCACTCCATTTTCAAGAAAAATTATTATTTTTTGTTTTCTTTTTTTTTTTGTTCATCGAACCTCATTAACAAAGGTATCGTGAGGGAAACCAGAAAACCCATTAATTATGTCGAATTTTTAACCAATTAACTTAAATATTGAATAGCCGAACAACTGCAAGTCAATCAATCATCTTGCACCAAATTTCCAAAATTTACTAACAAATATGGTGTGGAATTGATTTTACTTGGAACAAGAAACGCAAGTAGGTTGCTAAACAACACCCCTAAATTTGAAAAAAGAGAATAGTCAGTTAACCTTTAATAACGAATAGAATATCAATGAAGCAGAATTGTATCAAATGTAGAACTCGTACACTTACTGTGGGAGCTTGAATTTTTGTCCATGCAACACTCTGTTTTTTTATTAAAAAAAGGTTTCAGTCTTTTGAAAGAACTCAATCGTCGCCCACGGCCAACGACCAGATAAGAAAATTGGCAAATCGAATCCGGGCACTTACTTTTTGTAATAAATATAAAAGAAATCACTATACAAAGCGGTCTGAATAATCCCGGAAATCCAGACGATCCAATCGACGTGATGCTCCACTTTATATCTCCACAACCAATTTAGTAGATAGAATGCTCGATATAATCCTAGGGCAAATAGGTAGTGGGTGGTGATGGTTTCGGCTTCTCCCGTACGAGACAGCATAAACAATTGTGGGAGAATTGCAACTGACTCGAGGTAAATCGAAAACGCCCAGAGAACCTTTAAGCAACAAGCATTTATATTATTAGCGGGTCGAATGGTTAACGAGCTTAGTGCTCTGTAACTTGTGAGAAGTATAAGAAAATAAACGAATAAATTTCGCTTGCCTCCAAGACAGTAAATTCATAGTTAAAGGCCAATGCGAGTATTGTACAGGGAAGCAATAAAAATTCTATCCTGAACGTCTCTAGGTTTGGATCGTATGTGGCCCTAAATTTCATCTTCATCAAATATAAGATGTATATTGACGTCGCAATAAAGAATATCTTCATGACCGTGTTATATAACGAAACCCATGTGGTGAAAAGGTCGAGGTATCGAGTGACAAAAACAACGGCATAAAGAAGTTGAGTCTTGAAGGAAATGCCTGTAATGAAATAAAAGGCAATGTTTTTGGCATTAAATATGTGGGTTCAATATATATATAATAATTCAAAGTTTTTTAGGGTAACGAATGTCAACCCATGCAGCTTCACAGTAAACTTGACATAAATTTGGTAACAAGCAGTTCCCAACAAGACTATCTGTGGGGAAGACGCACAACGCAAAAACAACCCCGACCTCCGTTTTTAGAACTCTGATCGGCTGCAGTGCTTGGATTGCAGTTGACACATACCTGCGCACGATCGCGTTTTTTGAATTTTTATTAGCAGAATAAAAATCGACGCCAAGTGCGTCAAGTCCGCTATCATACGAAAAATATTCATCTTTGCTTCTTATTGATACTTGGGAGAAGGTATTATTATTTCGACGACGAGCAGGGCGAAGATTTCATTAAAAAATTACGGTTTTTTTGTTAATCAAAGTTTACTTATATTGTTCATTGGCCAAATTGCAATTTTTGATACGTGTGTTGTTCCGTCATTGTATCACGTGACCATATAAGGCACACACACTCTCCGATGATTAAATACCCGGTATGATAGATAATACAATGAAAAAAAAAAAAAAATACTACTAGGTTCTGATAATCTGATAGCTAATGGAATTGGTATTCAACGTGAAAAAAAAAATACAGTTGGTCCAATATTATAGAAATATTAATTGAAAATCTAATGCGTAAAAAATCATTACAAAGATCACTGATCTATAACTGAATTACATTTTAATTCCTTGATTAGAAAAAAAAAATTTTTTTTTTCCTTTTTTTTTTTTTTTTGTACAAAACTCCCTATATAATACGAACACTGATTTAATCAGTATTCCTGTTTTTGCATGGCAATAAAATTGCAGGATTAGAGCGTTGCATCAACAAAGAATTTGTGATGATGATCCATCTATCTGGATACTAAAAGGAAAAAAAAAAAAAAAAAAAAAAACGACCGTCACGATATCAACCCGAAATCCTAACAATTATTACCCCAAAATAATTTGTATAGCTAGCGTTAAAACCTAAACCGAATTCTATATTGTTTTTATCGAATCCTGTCGGGAATGGAAGCTTAGAATTCCTATTAGTAGTACAATAGGTGAGATCGAGCGTCAATCTTGGACACGGCATGAGAAAATGCGAGCAAATTAGACTTACCCAATCAGCATCGACAACATCTAAGGCCCACTTGAATTTGTCGCGCAAACTTTTGTTGAAAATCTTCTCCGTTGGTACATTGTGTTTTAAGCACCACGCGGCAGAAATTCGAGGGTCTATGTAGTTAATCTTCGATGTTCCTAGGGCAGTCGTCTTGCCCTCATCTTTATCAACCATCATTAGTTTTGTTTCTTTGATACGTGAAGCCAGTTTGTCAATTTGGGCATCCAGTTTTTCGACCGTCTGACTCTTCTTGGGCTCAACTTTACCGGTCTTACGCTCTCTCTCCAA